AAATTTTTATTTTATTTTATGTATACAAATTGCATAATTTTCATGTGATATATATAACTAATCTGCAACTAATGAGTTGTATAATTTTTGCAACATATAAATATAAATAAATTTTCAGCTATTCTAATATTTTCTCTCTCACACTTACTTAATAATTCATAATGTTGCATTCATCAAGTTCAAATATTAATATACAAGATATAATAACAAAAGAATCACCTCCTGCATACACTCTATATATAAACTTGAAAGAACAATCAATAGCATTTAGACTAAATAGACCTTTTAAGAATCTGAAAAAGGTAAAGGTTATTAAGAAAGCAACCGAGAGCAGCAATCCTTCTAAAACTCTAATCTTACCAAATGATATAATAAATTTTGAAAAAGAATTGTATAATTTAAAACTTAATAGTAAAGAACTAAAAAATTTGAAAAATATTTTGACCTATAGTTAAAAAAATGCATTCAAGTACCATAAAAAAAATGTCAATCTTCCTTCTAAGAAATCATTTTTTTCTTTCTAGTTGAAGATGCAACATACCTCTTATTTTAACTAAAACCTTTCTGATTCTGATATTATAAAGAAATCTTGAAGCTTCTTTTTCCTATTGTATTATCTTATCTCATTCTTAATTTTTTAGTTCATTTTTTTTAGTGAAATAGGTTTTAGAATCAAGTATAATTATTTTTTTTTGTTTTTTCAAATTTATTCATTAGCAATTCCCTTACTTTGTTAATATTTTATACTCTTTTTATATTAAATATGTATTATTTCAAAATATCAAAATGAAATAAACTATGAAATAAAAATTTATAAAATGAATCTATCATATTAATAATTTTATTTATCAAATTGGTTTCTTTGATTATTTTGTGATCATATTATTGATCATTTCCTTTGGCTCATTAGTAATCAAACACATAGAAATAATAACTATAACACGAGATTCATTTATTTTGTCACACAATTTTCAAACTTATGATCATTATTACAAATTTAAAATTTTTTACATTAAATATATCTTAAAATCAATCATGACAAATAATACTAATAATAAATCTGGTTAAAGTAGAATACTTAATCAATTATATGAAGTAATTTTATAAGAAGAAAGATATAATAGCTATTCAAAAAAAACTCAGTATTAATGCTGCTTGATTCATATGAGTTATTATTACATTTTCTGAAGAAAATAATACTGATACAAGAGAAATTTGACATTAATAACAACCTTATTTTAGCAATAGAGTAGTATAAGACATATATTTAGTAGAATAAAAGTAAAGAAACTTTGGTTTACTAAAGAGAAGTTTCCATTGTATTCAAAAGTTTTCTTTAACAATTTCATAAAGTTTTCATAAAAAATTTAGCTGACATAAATCAATATTCATATTTAGTATCAGTTAATTAATCTACATTTTTTGTATATATAATATGACTTAGTAAAATTCTTCTGAGCTGATGATCACTACTTCAAACTGATTGTATTATCTTATATCTTACCTTTCTTTTAAAATTTCTTTTAGAATAATATCATTATTTTATTACTTCTGATAATAATTTATTAACTTTCATTTATTTATTTAATGAAGATATTAACTTATTACATATTCTTTTATCTTCTTATACAATTAGCTTTGCAAGTTTAAAATCTGTTCTTATTTAATTTCTTTATAATTCTTCTTTTTAAAATTATAGCATTCAACTGCTTCAGATTTTTCAAATAAATAAGATCAAATAAATCAAATTAATTCTCATATCACAGGTCAGATAAAAAAATATCAGGTAATAAGGCTTTAGACAAATATCAAAGTAAAACCAAAAATTGATATTTGCTAAAATTTGATTTAGCCATATCAGATAAGCTTCAGATAGCTATTATCATATGATATTTAGATATAGGACCTGATATCTAAAAGAAAAATTAGGTAAGTTCTGGAATTTTATCAGATCACTTGATAGGTTTTATATTTCATAGGCCTATTAAGTAATCTAATACATTTTGATATACTGCGTTAAATTAATTTTTTTTTAATTATTTTTTTAATTATTATTTTCACAACTTAGCCAATAGAATATAATAAAAATATATAAATATTTATGTATTATATTTATTGTAATAAAGCCGAAAAATTTAATTAAAAAATAATTTTCTCATAATATAAATACTACACTTTATTAAAATATAAGTAGAAATTGTAATGCCTAATTAACATTTTCTCATGATAATTTAATCCAAAATGTAAGCAATTATATTATCCAAAAATATAACATTTATATCAATACTTACTATAAAATAAAATATAATAATATGTAAGTATGTAACCAATAACAATATGTAACACCAAAAAAATATAACAATAAAGCAAAGAAAAAAAATTCACACATACAATATGAAATTTCCTATTTATTAGAATAACTGACATATATTTTCTCAGATTTCTTTACTCCACTTCAAAGTATCCTAAAACAAATTGACATAAGATATTGTGTATCAATCCCTTTTCATTTCATAAAATTCTAATCTTTACAATTCAATATTATAATCATCTTTATCTACTTTATAATGAAATCTTATCTTGTAACTTTCAGGTGGCTTATACCATCTTACAAAAGCTAAATAGTGCATCTTAGGATCCTCTGGTAGTCAAATAATATACTCAAAAAAAAATTGGATTTGTCTAGAATATGTATCAGAAGTATTATTATTTAAAATAAAGCGTGCTAAAATCTTTGCTGATTTTGAATGTCAAAAAGACAATGTTGATCCAAATACTTCCATTCTAATTTTTAATCGGCTAAATTAATTGACTGTCAGAAGAATAGGAATAGATTCACCCAAAAATTATGATTATATGATAGTATAACAAAATTTTTATTGTATGTATTACAATAAAAATCTGCCAATAAAAGCAGAACATCTTGCTATAATAATACATCTTTTTATGATGGACCTAAAAAAGAATCAGAAAATAGTTCAGTACTAAAAACTATGCCTTCTTCTATATTTGATGATAATAAATAGAATGTTTGATAGTCTTCATCAGTATATTGAGAAAGACTTTCAACTGAATCATTAAACTTTAATATTTCAAGACTCTTCTGAAGGTATTGATTTTGATCAACATGAGATGTTAATTCATCCAAAACGGTATTATTTTGTATAATTTTTATAAGTTCTTGTTCAATATTCCTTTGACTATTATGAAATGATCCTAAAATATGCTTAAAATATTAATAAATTCTGATAGATTCTTTGATATTTTAGAAATTACCTAACAAGCCATTCATTCGTTCCATTAGGTAGTACTAAAATGCATATAATTCAAGAAGTATTCGTATAAATGCATACATAAATGCAGATTAGGTATTATTTTTTTAGCTCCGTAAGTTTTTTCAATTTCTTTAACCATTGTTATTAAATGTTGGTAAGCTTTTTAAGATCTTCTTTTAATACTATTTTGCATACCAAAACCTTGCAGGCACAAATAAAATTTGCTAAAATTCTTCGGTCATACTCTTCTAAAAGGTCCCACATAATAGATATTAAATATATTAGCATGAAATTTTTCCACTGGTCTGCAGAGAACCCAGAAAAACCTTCTCCTGTTGATATTTTATCTGGAAACCTGCTAATATCTATAAGTATCTGGATTCAATTTGCTCTTTTTTGCATAAGTGATAAATCTTCTAGTCTTAACTTTCCTTCTTCAATCTATAACCTCATTACAATCCATTTAGCAATTCCTAAAAAAAGGCAGTGCATTGGATCTATAATAAGAAAATGTATTAGATTAAAATGAGGTAATCTATGCATTTCAGACTATCGTACTAATATTTCTAATATATAGTTCTAATGTTGCTCTTCTGTTTTGCAATTTTTTCATTCAAGAGCATCATATTTAATTTTCTCAACATTTCTTTCTATAAACCAGTTATTCATATCAGACAATCCCCAAAATTTGGTTAGTTTCTTTCGTTAAAATTAGCATATTTAAGGTATTGATGACATGCAATTCTTGTAGATATATATTCACAAAGCTTTCTTGCAGCAGGTATATCACAAGAATAGCATATAATTGCACCTCTAATTGTTTTTCCATTAGGATGCTCAAAGGTTTTTAGTAATTCTATGCCATGTCACAACTCTACGAATTGATCAATCAGAGGAGTCAGATAGTAATTTAAGTGGTATAATAATGGCTTTCTTAGACTCAGAATTAATGCTAATGTTATTATATTAGAAGGTTTAAACCTTTCGTTTTGAAGTAAATTGCAAATAATAGCATAAATTGCTTCAGTATTGTATTGAGAATTTTTAAAAGGCTAAAACTAATCCATACTGAGCATTATTCTGAGGTGAGTATCAGATGTATTTGGTTGAAAGAAATTAATTCATTTTTATCATTAAATGATTTCTATATTCTTCTATCATAAATATCAGCAAGAATTTTTAGATCAGAAGGATGATTAATCCATTTTCAGCATGATTTTTCAAAATCTTTTCATTTGAATAGAAGATTTAGCTAGTATTTCAAGCTAACTATAGGAAATATTAAGGTTAGCTTTTTAATTATACCATTTTTTGTTTGAATTTGTTTATATAATGGAGTTTCACAGACATTCCTTTTATGACTCATTGAATGATTAAGGAAATCTTAGAATACACAATTTGTATATTTAAACGTAAGATTAAAACTATTGCTAGATATATTAGTAATATTATATAATTTACAGCATTTTTCAAAAGCTGCATATTTTATTAAATGTGTACAAATACCAAAACTCTTGTATGCCATATAGAGAAATGAAGGAAAGATTGAAAATGTGATTTCATTTAAATTAATAAGAATATAGTGAAAAAATTTAAAGAGAGAATTTGTAGCTACATTAGATAATCAAAATCTCTCTTGGTACTTTAAGATCTATACAACGATCTATAAAAAGGTATTGTTTAATTCTTCAGTATATCTAAAATTGTTTTTCTCTAATTCTACTTTTAAGCATCAAAATTCACTTGATTGTTTTCCTCTAAATCATCAGATGAATATTCTGAAATATTGTCTTCAAAGTCTCTTTTATTATTTTCTTCAAGTGCATCATTATCACTATCATCAGAGAATATTTCATTTATTACTTCCAGAGGTAAAATTTTATAAGTTTTGTTTCTTTAAAAATTAATTGGTATTCTTTTTACTATTCTTCTTGTGATTCTTTATTTTAGTTTATATCAATTTGTGGATCTGAAGGTATTAAATTAATTAATGATACTTCTGGTGCTTCAGAAAAACTAGCAGCAGTTTCTTGTTATTGAAATATAATTGTATATTTAGCATAAGTTGCTTTAGTCTTTAGATCTACAAATTTTTCTTTACAACCCTGATAATAGTATGATACAAATTTTCGAGTTTGAAGAAAACAAGTATAAGAAGTTTTTTGAATGCTTTGAGTATTAGATTTATAAAACATTTTAATAAAATATAAGAGAAAATTTTTGTTTATTTGATTATTATAAATTGTATTGTAATTGGTATAAAGTTTAATTTATTATATTTATTACATATATATAGATTTACTTAGAATTATTTTATCTAATTTAAACTCTTTTTTCTTTTTACCCCTTTTAGTTTATTTAATATTTTTCCTTATTCTATAATAATGAATAAATATAAGTAAGTAAAAAAATTTTTTTTTTAAAGATGAGACTACAAAATTCTAAACTTTATTTCAGTATTATAGTAAAATAACTTCATTGTAAGAAGAAAGAGATAAAAGTTGAACACTATACTCTTATTAGAAAGATACTTTACACCTAGAAGATACTCTATACCCAAAAAATATTCTATATCTAAAAGATATTCCATGCTCTTATTAAGAAGATATCTTGTTAAATAGAGATAATAGTCGAATATTATATTCTTCATTAAACAAAAATACAAGTCAAATTCCATTCTCTTTATTAAACAGAAACAGAAGTAAAACTCTATCCTCTTTATTAAACAGAAATAGAAGTTAAATCTCATACTCTCATCAAGAACAAGAAGGTACTTTACTAAACAGGAATAGAGGTCAAATTCTATACTTTCATCAAGAAAATATTGCTTTAAATATAAAAGAAAGAGAATATAGGAGTATTAGTGAAGAAAATCATAAAAGAAATGAAAGTCGATAAAGAGATTGAAAAGGTAATTTTATAATAATGTTTTTATTTCAATTAGACTAATATTTTTTTATTAGAAATTATAGAATTACATTCAGTTGTTACAGATTTAGTAAAAGAAGTAAGAGAATTACGAGAACTACAATATAAAAAAAAACTAAACTGTATCAGCTCAGCGCAGTTGATCGTTTTAATTTC